GCCGACTGAAGCTGCAGACACACGGGCAACAGGAGCGGCGCGCACAGTGGCTACCGAGCGCACGAGGGCACCGGACTACGGGAGTATCTGGCTCCGCGGCTACGACGAGCACACACAGGAGCAACGGACCCACAGGCGACTGGCGAAGCAGGCTCGCTGGGCTACCGAAACGCGCGAGGGCATCCGGACTACTGGCGCTGCTGGCGTCACGACGGCTACCTCCACGCAATCTCCCCCGACCGTCCCACGCCCCTCTCACACACCCCCTGCTGACACCCTAGCTCCACTCCGACGGTACCCCCCTTAAACCCCAAACCCTAGGCTCCCACACACCACCCCCCTCAGCGGCAGCTGTAGCAGAGGGAGACGAGGGAGGAGGAGGAGCAGGGGGAGGAACTCACAACCGACACCCCCATAGCCGCCACCCCCACACTCTTCACCCCCAAACCCTAATTTAGGAGAACGGGCTGTAGGAGGGGTGAGGCGCCGGTAGAAGCACGGGGGACAGTGGAGAGGGCAGGAGCAGCGAGGAACGGGCCGCCCACGGGCCTGGTAGAGCCGCCCGAACCGCGCGCAGGCGGCCCGAGCCGCGCGCGGGCCTGGCGCTTCCCGTACGGGCCGCGCGCGTGCCTGGCGCAGCCCGTACGGGCCGCGCGCGGGCCTGGCGCAGCCCGTACGGGCCGCGCGCGGGCCTGGCGCAGCCCGTACGGGCCGCGCGCAGGCCTGGCGCAGCCCGTACGGGCCGCGTGCCGGGTGTACGGGCCGCGCGCAGGCCACGACGGGCGACGGGGGGCGACGCGCGGGTCCCCGTCGCCCGTCGCAGCGCCTCCCGGGGGCGACGTGCCGAGTGACGGGGCAGGAACCCGCCGCGCGCCTCGGGGCACACGGCGGGCAGAGAACCGCCGCGCGCCTCGGGGCGCACGGCGGGCAGAAAACCGCCGCGTGCCTCGGGGCGCACGGCGGGCTGAAAACCCTAGTTTCGACGCCGCGCGCCACGGGGCGCGCGGCGGACAGGGAGTAGCAGTAGCAGTAGCAGTAGCAGCGGAAGGCTTAGGTGGTGGGCCCACCCACAGGATCGACCCAGGAGGGTCGACCTGCTCTGATAGCATGTCAGAATCACTAGGCAAGAATGATTGAAAGGAGAGAGGGGATGAACTAGCAGGCAGTTGAGTACAAATAGCAAACCCTAGATTGGGCTGTACTCACTATAGAGTACCCCACTGCAGGCTAGACAATAATAGCATTCTGACAGCGCGCGGCTCCCCAGGGCACCTCGACGGGGCAGCGGGGGGGGGCCGCGCGCGGCTCCCTAAGGCGTCGCGACGAGGCAGCGGGGGCCGCGCGCAGCTCCCCACGGCGTCGCGACGAGGTAGCGGGGGGCCGCGCGCGGCTCCCCAAGGTGTCGCGACGAGACGTCGGGGGCGACGCGCGGGGCTGCGGGGCGACGCGGGGGGTCGACGGCGACGAGGGGAGGGCGCTTCGACGGTGGGAAACCGCCGCGCGCCTCGGGGCGCACGGCGTGCAGAAAACCGCCGCGCGCCCCGAGCGCACGGCGGGATGAAAACCGCCGAAACCCTAGAAAAAATTCGTCGTCGCGGCAGGAAGAAGTCGTCGCGCGCCCGAGGCGCCCGGCAGGAAGTACAGCAGCGGAAGCATTAGGTGGTGGGCCCACCCACAGGATCGACCCAGGAGGGTCGACCTGCTCTGATAGCATGTCGAGAGAATTAGGCAGAAAGAGAGAATGAACTAGCAAGAATGGGGATACAAATAGCAAACCCTAGAAGGGTTGTACTCGCTACAGAGCACCCCACTGCAGGCTAGACAAATATAACATTCTGACAGCTCGCCCATGCGAATGTTGGCCAATTTCCTCTCCAGCTGGCTGATGTAAAGGTCGTCGGTCGCCTTGTAGGTACGCATAATGTACTGCCACGCTTGGTAGCCAACATCCACCTGTTGTCTGCACGACGTCAATGCGACTTGCACCAGAGGCAAACAACACCTCGAAATGACCATGAAGGTTAGGAGATGAGCAGCGCGAAATTCCGCCCAGAGTTCAGAGTCGTCTGCGTCCGGCGTCGCAACATTGCCGTCGACGAACTTCTTCAATCCGGCGATCTCCAGCTGCGGCTCGATGGACTCAATCCATGTGATCAAGTCGTGGCGACCTTCGAGCAGCTTCGGCACGGCAATCTTGTCCGGCGAAAACTTGAAATATCCGTACGCCGGCGCGATGCCTCCGTCCCGACCGGCCGACGCATGAGTTGCCGACGTCGGTCTGACTCCACTCTGCAAGGGAGATTGACTTCGGCCATTGGCGTTGCCGTTCGAGCTTCCCGCTACCGCCGAGCGCTGAAATCGCGCCTGCATTCCGCCGACACCGACGTCGGCGACCCGAATCACTCCACGACGCCTTGTACTGCCTCCTTCACTGCCGACTTGGTCACCGCCGTCGACCTGGTCGTCGATGCCGCCTTCGTTGCGTGCCGGTCGGGGAGTGGCGGGCAGTCCATCCGCCTCAGTACGGGTCGTTGGATGCTCGCGCGCCCACTGCACGCGGGTTCCAAAGAGCATAACCTCCAAGGTTGCTCCGCCGTACTCGCCAGCTGCGTGGCGTGCCCGAACGTCTTCTAACCGCGCCTGCAGGGTATCCTCTACGCCTGCAGCGACCTCCTCCTGGTCGTCCATCGCGGTCTAGACGGTTGCCGGCCTACAGACAACTTAGGTAATTAACGCAAGAGTCGGCTATCTAAAGGTCGCGTGTTCGTTCCACGCTCACCGCACCATGCGGAGAATTCTAATCTAAGGGAGAGCTTGACTAGCGTGGGACACACAGTCAGAGTTCTGGCAGTGATTCTCAGGAATGAACTTAGATGTCTTGGTAGAATTCAAGCATAGTTCCACTAGCAGAAAATTGATTGAACAAGATTATGGTACAAGCAAGGAGAATCAAATAGCAAGAACAATGAACCCTAGAGAAACGTTCCTCGGCTAACACATGACTTATCCGAGTCAGCAACGGCAGGTGAAACGACAAGCACATGTGTCTTTCACCTGAGTTGGCAGTTTCTCAGGTTTACAGTTTTCAGAGTTGTTTACGTTTTTACTGTTAGTAAAAACGTGTTTCAGGTTCAGTTTCCTTACTGATTCGAATTCTCCTGGGGAGTACAATTTCCGAAATTCTCTGATTGGTCGAAATTTGCTGTTTCGCGATTGGTCGAAATTCGCGCACATTGTGAATTTCGGAGACAAGTACTTTTGTCGACCAGCAAAGCTCTGCTCGACGGTGCCTGTTTCGAGCTTAATTCTGTCGACCAGCGTTTCGTCGAAACGCTGTTTTCTACCATTTCGTCGACGAGCAAGGCTCGATTTGGACGCCGTTTTGCTCCCCTCGACAAGTGCCTCGTCGAGGGGCAGTTGTGTAGAGCAGAAACAGCACTTCAATTTCGACGAAGTAATTTGGTCGAAATTCGACCCGTCAGTCAGAGAGAAAAGTCCCTGAAGTCGCGACCACGAAACGAACACCGTTGTGCTCCGAAAAGCATGGCCGACTTCGCCCAAGCGAGGGCGGGGCCTTTTCTCCTCGACAAAAACGCATGCAAATTACTCACGCATTAATTGCGACGACAGCAAAAGCTGTCCGCCACCCGGGGGGAGGGAGGCCACGGTCGATCTTGACCGTCGAGGGCAAGGATCCGTCGGTGCAGTAGGAGCGTCAGTGAAATTCATGGCCGCTAGCAGCAACTACCCGTTCTCCTGGCCGGCTACTGCGCTGCTCCTGTCGCCATGGCATCCTTCCCTGTCCCCCCCCCCCCCCCCCCCCCCCCGAGGGATAAAAATGGGGAAGCTAGGAAAGTAGCTCTGATACCAAGTGTTATGAGTTGTACTAAACAGAGTGCGCGAAAGACTTCTATAAAGAGAATGTGATTACATAATGAGGAAAAATGAAGAATGCTAGCAAATATAGGGCGAATACGTGCTAGGCGAGAACCGCGTGACGTGCGTGGTTCGGAAATGTCGCGATTGGTGATGGGCGACTCGGAACTGGTTAGGTGCGAAAGTGTAGGCCGAGCCACACTGACGCGAAGTGCTCGGGCTTTCCTAGCTAGGAGCAGCCTCTACAGTAATGAATTGTGAATACGCACTTGACCAGACCAAACCGGACTTCGCTCCTCCAGACCATTCCAATTCCTAATCAGCTCATATTTCAATTCCGCGCCGCCGCACGTCCCTCACCACACCACCATTTCCCCACATTCCTTGCCACTCGCTGTTCAACCTGAACAGGCGTGAATAGTGATGCTAGTGGGATAGAAGAGCAGCGTTTGCCTCCTTGCCAGAAGCCGAGTCTTTTTAGAGGCGCATCAAAGGAAGCCTTGCGGGCATCGTTAGAAGCTCGGCTCGCTTGTGCATGTGAGCCACCACCTGAACCGTGCTACCTAACGGGGTCTGGGACTGCGACTGGGATTGATACGTCCAATGCGACTGGGGAAGGGAAGTTAGGGTAGAAAATTAAATTACCTCGCAAGGAATAAGCCGTGCGATCCCAGCATCCTCGAAGAATCTATTCTGCAGACCCGTGGCTGAACAGCCTGCTACGGGAAGCCCAAATAATTGGAAGAGAATACTTTGGCCAATAAAAACTGAATACGAGTCAGTTTCTACGGGTGGCGCGGAAATATCAATGCACCAACCCACCTATTGCCTGGAGCTGGTGGGTTCGTTTCCACCAACGCGGAAGCTTTGCGCAACCGCGCTGCCCGCGGGCAAAAAAAAAAGTAGCACGCATCACCGCTGCGTAAAGTAGCGCTTTCCGACGCTAGTGACGTCCGAATCTGAGTCGACTCAGAAACTGACGCTAGCGACGTCTCAGAGCACTTTTCGAACGAGATACCTTGGGACTTGGTCAATGTGCGGCAAGGATTTTTTGGACGACTCAGAAACACTTATGAAAGATACTCCCCTAGGCCGCAACTCCTCGTCTGATCATCTATCGGCCAATGTGCGGAAAGGATCGCAACGCCTCGTGCGGCCTGATTGTTTCCGGAAGGTTCCTTGCTGCTGCTTCCGCCGCCACGCAGCTCACTCCCTTTCAGCTCGCGCGTCAGCCGTCACCCACCGTCGCTCGTCCGTCGTCGCTCACCGTCGCTCGCCCCTCGTCACCCACCGTCGCTCGTCGCTCGTGGCGCGTCCTCCTCCTGCTCCTCGCCCTCTCTCTCGCAACCCGCCTTGCTGCCGCGTCTGGTGCGCACGTGATTTGGGCTCTTCCCCTCTCCCCTTCCTCTCTCTCCCTTCCTCTCTCCCCTTCCCTTCTCTCTTCCTTCTCTCTCCCCTTTCCTTCTCTCTCCCCTTCCCTTCTCTCTCCCCTTCTCTCTTCCCTTCTCTCTCCCTTCCTTCTCTCTCCCCTCTTTTCTTTCCCTCTCCTCTCTCCACTCTCCCCTCTCCCCTCCCCCTTCTCCCCCTTCCACCCTCCTCTCTTCTCCCTCTTCTCCCCTCCCTTCTCTCCCTTCTCTCCTCTCCGCTCCCCCTCTCTCCGCCTCCTCTCATCACTCCGCTCCATTCTCTTTCCTTCTCATGAGGTTGTTCTCAACGTGCGACTGCTGCCACTGGCTTCCGTGCCGTGCACATGAGTTGGTGTTTTAATTATTTCAACAATCCACTGGCTTCTGTTCCAAGCACGTGAATTACTTTTTTAGGTGGCTTTTGAGTCGACTCAAAAGTCACCTCCATGCACATCAGTTGCTTCTTGATAATTTTTAACGATCCACTGCTTCTCTCCCATGCAGATGACGAGGCCTCTTCGCCACCGCACGATGCTGCTTCATCAGAAGAATCAACGGCGGTCACTGTTTCCGAGCCGGATGCAAAGCTAGACGCTGGTTCGAATTTCAAGCCTGACGCTAGCTCTGACACTAAGCCTGCCTCCGAACCTTCTACCGAGCCTACCACCGAGCCTGCTTCCGAGCCTACCACCGAGTCTGCTGCCGAGCCTGCACCTGCCAGCAATTTATCAAATTGTAGCTCAAGTGAGTGACATGAATGTCTCTCCTCTATTGAAAGGCGATTCCACCATGCCTTATCCTCCATCCTCCTGGCAGCATTAACTTCCGTGCTCTCTCTAAGGCTGCCTTCTTTCCATCCATCCATCCACCCACCCACCCATCCATCCATCCATCCATCCGTCCGTCCGTCCGTCCGTCCGTCCGTCCGTCCGTCCGTCCGTCCATCCATCCATCCATCCATCCATCCATCCATCCATCCATCCATCCATCCATCCATCCATCCATCCATCCATCCATCCATCCATCCATCCATCCATCCATCCATCCATCCATCCATCCATCCATCCATCCATCCATCCATCCATCCATCCATCCATCCATCTGTCCACTGTCCCTTTCCCGCAGCCTCCCCCGTCCATTCTGCCCCCCATTCTCCCCCCTCCCTGCAACCATCCAACTTTTTCCCCAGATGACACCCCCCCCGCATGGGTCTGCCCCTGCAACTCCTCCTTCAACCCGTCACCCACCCCACCACCAAACAACTCCATCCCCGCTATAGACATCTCCTTTAAGGGCGAGTTTGGATACGAGCTGATTGCAGTCCTTCCTCACGCCTACTGGCATTTCCTCAACGGAACTCTCAGATCCACCAGGGCTTGTGCCTCCCCCCTCTCTCTCCTCTACTATTTCAGCCCAAACCACTCCACAGACCCGAACTGTAAACGCTCCAACGATTACAATTACGTTATTAAACAGTATGGTTTCACCAAGGGCCTTCATTTTAGCGACATTCCGCATTATTGGCATCCCCCGCCATTAGTGCACCGGATACGGGAGCTGGGGCGAGTATGGCTGGATGTTCCTATAGGGGGGGCTCCACTTGTGATTATAAGCAACAAGTATGAGATTGAATGGGCAGAACCGCCTACCAATTTCATTGATGTCCCAAATCTCCTTATAATCATTCGTGAGTTTCTCAATAAGGGGTATTTCGTGGTGTATAACCGGCCCGGGCATTCGATCCAGGCAGACCCGGAGCAAGGAGACAGGTTCGACTTGGGGGACCACACGAGGCTGGCTGAGGAGTTTGGTTCGGAGGCTCGGTTCCGAACCATGCAGCAGATTCACGAGGCTTGGCCGGGCCTAAGTTTCAACGAGGTTCAGTTTAGAATGATGGCCCGAAGCTCCTGTTTCATCAGTGTGCAAGGGGGAACATCAGTACTATCCAGCTATTGGGGTGGGAAGAATATCATTTTCTATCGCAAGGGGTGGGAGGGACCGGGTAGGTCTTATGAGAGGATATATCATAGATTGTCTGGGGCCAAGATAGATGTGACCAAGACGTATGAGGTGCTGCTGGATAGAGTGCAGGATATGATTCAAGAGGACCGGTGCCAAGCTGTTTAACACCATTCTTTGAGCCGCCCCAAGGATTACTCTCGTCTAGCATCTTACTTTCAATAGTACCGATATGTGGTTCCATAATTTGTTGTTACAAATGGGTCCACAGCCCAGTACCAGTGGTGGTGAGAAGTGCATTGCAAGCCTGCAGTTTTCATCTCAACCGATGCTGAGTCGCTGTCGAGCATCAACAGCAAAATATGAAATACCTAGTTGGCACCTCAGTAACAATTATATACAGCATATTTAACAACCATCCAGGGTTTTGGGGCAATAACCTCCGCCCCTTCTGCCCATCTTACTACGAGCATCTACTGCTGCTGAGCCGAGGCTCTACTTTGCGTTCGCCCTCCTCTTCCTGCCGCTGCTCTGGCTGTGCTTATTCGTCAACAACCAGCGCCACAACACACATGAAAAGACCAGCCGCCGTGCTAGCAATCATTATCATTGCTGCTGCTGCTGCTGCGGAGGCGGCATCGGCTGCTGCTGCTGCAGCTGCTTGTGCTCTTGCTGCTTCTGCTGTTTCTCCAGTTCCCCCCCTTGCTGCACCAGTCTAGACGGCAGCACAGCAGGCACGACCACACCAGCAGTTGTGGTGGCAATCCCCGGCACTCACTGATCCAGCACCATCACTAAGAACGTCAGCAATCGGGGTTGCAACTCATTGCTACTGCAACACCTGCTTCTACTGTTGCTGCTGTGGCTGCTGCTGCTGCTGCTTCTGATTTGTTTCCTCCCCTTGCTGCACCAGCCTCGACGGCAGCACAGCAGGCACAACCACACCAGCAGCCGTAGTCGCAATCTCCGGAACCCGCGGCACCCACTGATCGGGCACCATCACAAAGTACGTCTGCATGGCCTTCCGGAACCGTTTCTTGTAGTTAGAAGGAGAGATCACCGTAGGAGTAGAGTCCTTGCCCGCCCCGCCTCCCCCTAGCAGTCCAGACGCTTTGACCCATGTTTCCAGCTGCTTGTCCCACGTGTAGGGGCGGATGAAGTCGATTATGCCCACCACCAGTGTTGAGCGCTCCTCTTCTACCCCTACGAGCAGAGAATAGTCCATGATGGCGTGTTTCTGTGGGTGGGGAAGGGACCGGAACAGGTGGGGAGGGGTGGTGAGTGAATCATTACCTTCGTACCTGATTCTCAACCGCTCTCAACGATTCTCAGCCGCTTTTGTACCAATGGGGGAACGGCGTGGTTCCCACACGTCCCTCCAGCAGCTGCGTGGAGGTGAATGCTTACCCATCTTACATACAACTGCTCTCAACCACTCTCATCTCGTCTCACCGCGAGGAATGCCGTGTCGTTCCACACAGCGCGCTCCAGCAGCTGCTTGGACCGCTTCCCTACGAAGATGGGCGACGTGGGCATGGCTTCTAGCAGGTTCTCGTCTAGCAGTACCTGAGGCGAGGAGAAGAGAGGAGGAGGGAAGAGAATGGGAAAGAGACGGGGGAAAAGGGGAGTTGATGTGAGAATGCTTTATCACAAATGCATGTACAGGAACCACAAGTGTATGTACAGGTTCCCCCACCCTACCCCACCCAACCCCTTGCGCACATACCCTGCTCTTGGAGCGGTCTGCGTTGTATCTGGAGCGACGGGAGCCCTTGAGATCGTAGAGCTTGGTGATCCGACGGCCGTAGAGCAGGTTCTCCATGACCATCACGTCCATAGTCACGCCCTTTGCTGTCACCTGCTCACACACGCATGCACGGGATGGAAGGTTATAGGGCAAAGATAGGAGAGAGGAGCGAGGAGAGAGGAGAGAGGGGAGAGGAGAGAGGAGAGTGCAGAGAGGAGAGTGCAGAGAGGAGAGTGCAGAGAGGAGAGTGCAGAGAGGAGAGTGCAGAGAGGAGAGTGCAGAGAGGAGAGTGCAGAGAGGAGAGTGCAGAGAGGAGAGTGCAGAGAGGAGAGTGCAGAGAGGAGAGTGCAGAGAGGAGAGTGCAGAGAGGAGAGTGCAGAGAGGAGAGTGCAGAGAGGAGAGTGCAGAGAGGAGAGTGCAGAGAGGAGAGTGCAGAGAGGAGAGTGCAGAGAGGAGAGTGCAGAGAGGAGAGTGCAGAGAGGAGAGTGCAGAGAGGAGAGTGCAGAGAGGAGAGTGCAGAGAGGAGAGTGCAGAGAGGAGAGTGCAGAGAGGAGAGTGCAGAGAGGAGAGTGCAGAGAGGAGAGTGCAGAGAGGAGAGTGCAGAGAGGAGAGTGCAGAGAGGAGAGTGCAGAGAGGAGAGTGCAGAGAGGAGAGTGCAGAGAGGAGAGTGCAGAGAGGAGAGTGCAGAGAGGAGAGTGCAGAGAGGAGAGTGCAGAGAGGAGAGTGCAGAGAGGAGAGTGCAGAGAGGAGAGTGCAGAGAGGAGAGTGCAGAGAGGAGAGTGCAGAGAGGAGAGTGCAGAGAGGAGAGTGCAGAGAAGAGGGAGAGAGAGAAGGGAGAGAGAGAAAAAGCAGAGAGCGATATTATCCCTCACGACAGCAACTGGTACAAAACAAGGACCATTCACATCCCTCCCACACATCAGCATCATCTATCTACACAAATCCCCCTCACGACCCCACCTGGTAGAGGCCGAGGATCTTGGCGAGGCAGGAGGGGTTGCTGGACTCGATGGCGTCAAACAGGTGCTTGAAGTAGTCGTTGGCAAAGTCCAGAAACGCCAGTATTTCCTTGCGTTGCACCTTATAACGGGGATGAGGGAGAGTGGACGGAAACACAAGGGCTTGACTGTGAGATGAAGAAAAATAGGAGATTAAAATAATAAAAATAGTAATAATAATAATAACAATAACAATAACAATAATAATAATAATAATAACAATAATAACAATAATAACAACAATAATAATAATAACAATAGTAATATTAATAGTAACAATAATAATAATAAACAAAAACGAGGGCGGAGAAGAGGTGAGGGGAGAGGAGAGGAGAGCGCACAGGCAAGGAGAGGGCAGAGGGCGGCCAGAGTCTGAGGAAAGGAGAGTTCAACCCACCTGTTTGATGACAAAACGGTCGTCCGCAGTCTTGGCGAAATACACGGAGCTCTTGCCGCCCTCGGCACTCCAGCGCTTGCAGCGGCACAGCGACCGCACAAACTCCACATCGCCACTCCCGTCCACCACCCCTTCCCCTGCCGCCCCTGCCCCTGCCGCCCCCGCTGCCCCTGCCGACCCTGCTGCCCCTTCTCCTGTGTCAGCTACAGCCTTCTGCTGGCCGGATGAGGCAGTGGCGGTGGCTGGGGGGAAGGGAGAGCAGCACTTGCGGCGGAGCGCGTCAAACTGTTTGGCGAAGTAGGCAGTCACCTGGAACGATGCTGCAGAGCCACTCCCCCCACCAACGCCACCGCCGATCCCACGCCGACGGCTACTGCTACCAGCACCCACTGGCGTTGACGCACCGCTGCTCATACCGCCACTGTTCATGCCACTGCCACTAATGCCGCCACTAATCCCGCTGCTGGCGCTGCTGCTGCCCGTGGTGCCGGTGGGGTTGGTGGTGGGGCCGGGGAGGAAGGGCAGTGCGGGGAAGGGCAGGGTATCGTCACCTCCCCCCACTGTGAATGCCACTTTCACGTGGCGTTTCTCCCGGGACAGCAGCGGGTCCTCCTGAGTGGGCATTGTCACTGGCTCTTCTCGGGATGGCAATGGCTCATCCCGGGACGGCACTGGAGCCGCTTCTCCCCGAGATGGCATGGGCTCCGGTTCCCCTTGCGATGGCACTGGCACTGGCACTGGCACTGGCTCTGTCTCTCCCCCAGCTCGCCTCTCTTCTGGTTGTGCTTGTAATGGTTCTTCCTGCGACTGTGACGGTTCCGATGCTGCTTCTGAAGGTTTTTGTTGCACTTGTTCGTGCTGCATGGAGGATGCTGGTTGATGGTCTTGTGATGATGTCTCCTCTTGCTTGCAAGCTCCCTCCTCTCCTCCCACATCACCACGCCCATCAGCAGTGGCAAAAGAAGTCTCGCCAGCAGCACCCCCACCACTATCAGCACTTGCAGTCGCAGACGTGTCTTGAGGCACGGACCCATGCTCCAGTCTATCATGTTCCAGTCTATCTTGTTCCAGTCTATCTTGTTCCAGTCTATCTTTCAGCCCTTGTGTCACGCCTGCAGTGTCAGCACCACCACCATCACCATCACCAGCAACACCAGCACCAGGACCAGCACCATCCCTCTCTGCTCCTGCCAGCATTCTCAGCTCGGCACTAGATCTAACCCCACCGCTCTCCACTCCCTCACCATCTTCTCTACCTGCCTCTACAGCACTCTGTGCAGAAGCAGCGTGCAGCGCATGGGCTTGCCGGGCCTGCCCTCCGTCGGGCACCGGACTGCCACTGCCACAGGGCGCTGCTGCTGCTGCTGCTGCTGCTGCACTATCGCTAGTACTACTTTCTCTAGATCTCCGACCATCGCTACCTCCTCCACCATCTCTTTCGCGAAGGGCTCTAGCCTCTTCCACAGCCTCACTGGCCGCTCCTTCTGCAGCCATCCCGTACGCTTCTTTTCCTGCTGCTCCTGCTCTTCCTGCTGCTCCTGCTCTTCCTGCTGCTCCTGCTGCTGCTGCAGCTGCTGGAGCACCTGAGCTCGCCAACTCTGCTCCATTTCCCCCTCCCCCTCTCGCCTCCCAATCGATTTCGCTTCCTTCCCCTGCTGTTCGTTTCCCCCCTGCTGCCCCTGCAGCTGTGGACTGTGCATCTGCTGCTGCTGCAGTCTCTATGCAGCCTGCTGTGGGTCCTGGTGCCCTAGCAGCAGCAGCAGGTGGAGAGCCATCAGTGCGACGAGTGCTTTCAGCTGCAGAATCAGGTGTAGGGGCAGCAACGCTTCCACATGCATCTGCTGCTGCACCTGCACGGCTTGGCCCTGCTGCTGCTGCTGCTGCTGCTCCTCCTCCTCCTGATCCTGCTTCCGTTGCTCCTCCTCCTGTTTTATCATCTGCTTCTACTGCTGCCATGGCCGCCGCTGCCGCTGCAGCAGCTGCAGCAGCAGAAGAGGCTTGCCTGACCAGCTCGCCTACTGCCTTAGCCCCCACCACCTCTGATTCCACCACTCTCCCACTCCCCCCTACCCCCTTGGCTGACACTCCAGGCCCAAACACACTCCCTATCTGCCCCACACTCACACCCACACCCACACCCGCACCAGCACCCGCACCAGCACCCGCACCCGCACCACCACTCCCAGCCCCTCCCCCAGCAGCAGACGTGTTACTGACAGCAGCAGCAGCACCACCAGAAGCAGGCGCACGAGCAGAACTAGCGGCATTCTGAGCAATGGCAGTGTGGGCAGCAGTGGCACCAACGACAGTGGCGGCGCCATGCACGGCGCGGTAGTACTCATTGGACGAGATGGCGTACGCAATGAGCGACGTGGGCTCGTCCTCGTACACAGCAATGATGCGCCCGCCGATGCCGGGTGGCAGGAGCACGTGAGCTCTTCCTAGCAAGGCCGGAGGGTTCTGTATGAGTCATGGAAGAAGGGGGGGGTTTGGGGGAAAAATGTTACTGTTGAGACGTCTAAAAAATAACCTCATCACACGTCTCTTCCTAGCAAGGCCGGAGGGTTCTGTATGAGTCATGGAAGAAGGGGGGGGTTTGGGGGAAAAATGTTACTGTTGAGACGTCTAAAAAATAACCTCATCACACGTCTCTTCCTAGCAAGGCCGGAGGGTTCTGTATGAGTCATGGAAGAAGGGGGGTTTGGGGGAAAAAGGGGTGGGGGAGGGAGGGATAAGCGACGTGGGCTTGTTCTCATACACAGCAATGATGTGCCCGCCGATGCCAGGGGGCAGGAGCACGTGCGCTCTACACAGCAAGGCAGGGCTGGGGGAGACTGAGGTAGAATGTATTTTCGACTCAAAAATATGCCAGGGGGCAGAAGCACGTGCGCTCTACACAGCAAGGCAGGGCTGGGGGAGACTGAGGTAGAATGTATTTTCGACTCAAAAATATGCCACAGGGCAGGAGCACGTGCGCTCTACACAGCAAGGCAGGGCTGGGGGAGACTGAGGTAGAATGTATTTTCGACTCAAAAATATGCCAGGGGGCAGAAGCACGTGCGCTCTACACAGCAAGGCAGGGCTGGGGGAGACTGAGGTAGAATGTATTTTCGACTCAAAAATATGCCAGGGGGCAGAAGCACGTGCGCTCTACACAGCAAGGCAGGGCTGGGGGAGACTGAGGTAGAATGTGTTTTGTTTCAAAAATATGCCACAGGGCAGGAGCATCTACACAGCATGCGCTCTACACAGCAAGGGCAGGGCTGGGCTCAGCAAGACAGGGCGCTCTGCTCGACGGTGCCTGTTTCGAGCTTAATTCTGTCGACCAGCGTTTCGTCGAAACGCTGTTTTCTACCATTTCGTCGACCCGCGAGGCTCGATTTGGACGCCGTTTTGCTCCCCTCGACAAGTGCCTCGTCGAGGGGCAGTTGTGTAGAGCAGAAACAGCACTTCAATTTCGACGAAGTAATTTGGTCGAAAATCGACCCGTCAGTCAGAGAGAAAAGTCCCTGAAGTCGCGACCACGAAACGAACACCGTTGTGCTCCGAAAAGCATGGCCGACTTCGCCCAAGCGAGGGCGGGGCCTTTTCTCCTCGACACTCCCCTGCCCAGCTCACGCTTGGGCACCCACACACAAGGTCCACCTAGAACCTAGTTAATAAAATACAAGGGGACATTTCTCTGGCGTGCACACTCCCGCACGCCGACCACCGCACCAGCCATGTTAGAGGACATGGCACCTACTGCTGCACGCCGTCGTTGTCGCCGACTGCGGTAAGGCGAACCTGGCCGATCGCGATAGAGCACCGGTTGAAGGCCGGAAAGTGCAGACCCTTTGTGAGGAAGTCCGCCGGCTGCTCGGATGTTGGGATGTATTCCAGCGCAACCTTCTTGCACTTCACCATCTGCTGCAGCCAAGCGTAGCGTCGCTCCATGTGCTTGAGGTTGCCTTTCAGCCCCAAGCCCTCAGCGACCGCGATGGCGGACTAATTGTCCACGTTCAGAGTAGTTGGCGTCCCAGCATCGAGGAGCTGGAACTCGGCGAGGAGGAATCGAAGTCGACGAGCCTCCTTGGCCGCCTCAGTGGCCGCGATGTACTCTGACTCCGTAGAGGACAGAGTCACGCACTTAATGCGTTGGCTTGTCCAGGAGACAGCTGCGCCGCCGAATGTGAAAACGTAGCCATTCGTGCTAGTGCGATTCTGCTTGTCGCCTGCGTCGTCAGCGTCCGCGTAGCCGACCAGTGTCAGAGTCTCCGGTCCTCCTCCGAACTCCAGAGCAACATCACGCGTGTCCGAGAGATAGTTGAGGCAGCGGTCGACCTCACGCCAGTGGTTATCGCTCCTCACCGTCAGACCAGATCCCGGCTTGCTGCACGCAAAAGCGATGTCGGGCCGAGTTGTTGTGGCAGAGAACTGCAGCGAACTGACCTTCTGACGATACTCCTCTTCTTCGCGCGACTGAAAGTCATCGTCGTCGAAAGTCAGCTCGGCATACGCGTCGACGGAAACAGGTGTCTTCGGACGCCGACCAGTCTGCTCCTCGTCGATGAAGCGCCTTCGCAGCTTGTCGACATAGGACTGCTGGTGAAGCCACAGCTTCCGCGCCGGACGGTCACGCACGATTTCGAGCCCCAAGTACTTCTCGACCGGGGTGATCTCGCGCAGCTCAAAGGCAGCCTCCAGCAGCTCCTTCAGCTCCTTCAGCATCGCGGTGCTGCTGCTGGCGGCGAGCAGGTCGTCGACGTAGACGAGCACCCAGCACGCCACTCCGTCGTCGCCAACTCGGAAATAGAGGGCCTCGTCGACCTGGCTCTTGCTCCAACCAGCGCCAATCAGCACAGCGTCGAGCGCAGAGTACCACAGCAGAGGGCTCTGCTTCAGCCCGTACAGGCTCTTCAGCAGCTTGCATACTCGGCCGGTACCATCGTTGTAGTAAGCCGGCTGGTCCATGTAGAGCACGCGATCGAGCTTGCTCTGTAGAAACGCATTCTTCATGTCTAACTGCATGAGGTGCAGATCGAGGACGGCGACGATGCTAAGGAAAATCCGTAGCATAACGTAGCTCCCGACTGGAGTGTACGTCTCGTCGTAATCAGCTCAGTAGACCTGCGTGAAGCCCTTCACTACCAGGCGCGCCTTTTCGCGGGCAACCGTGTCGTCAACATGGTACTTTGTTGTCAGTACCCAGCGGTTCTTCATGACATTGACGCCGCGCGGGCGCTCCACCAGCTCCCAAGTGCCGTTGGTGATGAGACTTCGAATCTCCTCGTCCATCGCCGCTTTCACCGCCTTGCCCTTCCAGCTCGCTAACGCCTCCTTCACTGTCATGTTAGCGATGTCCCAGCGGTGCTCTGGATCGGCGTGCATATCGGGATCGAGCTCGGGTATGTTGACGTCGAACTGCGCATCATCGAGCAGAGTGCTGTAGGAGGTCGGCGGCAGGTAAGCATGGTAGCTCAGCTTCTCGCAAGGCTTGCCAAAGTTGGAGCGGGTGGAACGTCGAACTGCAGGCTTGTCGGCCGAGACCTCCACCACGTCGCTGTCGCTGGACTGCTCCCCGTCATCGCCGCCGATGACTTCAACAACGTCGCTCGAGGTGCCATCGTCGAACTGCTCCCCAGACATCCGCTCCTCGAAAGCGAGCTCCTTGTTCGACGGCTCCCCTGTCGATGGCTCCTCTGAAACACGCTCCTTGTTCGACGTCTCCCCTGTCGGCAGCTTCTCTGAAACGCCCTTCCCGTTCGACTGCTCCCCTGTCGGCGGAAACTTCACTCCGACACCAACTTGCTCGCTGACCAGATCACGTCGACCGCCAGCGATGCTAATGGGCGGAGCTGAAGGTGACGCACCAATGCTCCCCTCATCGCTGGCAGCCGACGATGATGCCGACTTAGGCAGGCCGGGGGCGAGCGATGGGGGGGAGGCGGGAAGAGGAGGAGGATTCGACGAGGGCGGAAGGGAGGGGGAAGGATCTTCAGAAGGACCATCGTCCTCGGATTCGAGCAACGAAATCGCTGCCGGCGACGGACCCATCGGCGGAGAAATCTCCGTCCGCTCTGACGCGGGCCCGTGCTCCACCTTCCACTCCTCCAGAGACATCGCCTCATAGAAGATTGTCAGAATATTATGCTCTAGCCTGTAGTGGGGTGCTCTGTAGCGAGTACAACCCTTCTAGCGTTTGCTATTTGTATCCCCATTCTTGCTAGTTCAGCCCCTCTTTTGCCTAATTCTCTCGACATGCTATCAGAGCAGGACGATCCTGTTGGGTCGATCCTGTGGGTGGGCCCACCACCAAATGCTTCCGCTGCTGTTCTACTGGTCGTGCGCGACGGCGCTCGGCTTTGCCCGCGTCGCCCGTGCGCGCGGCTCCCCCGTCGTGCGCCCGCGCCCGCCCGTGCCCGCCCCCCCGATTTCCCGTCGCCCGCGGCCCCTCGGTTTCCCGTCGCCCGCGGCCCCCTCGGTCCCGTCGCCCGCGGCCTTCCCGTCGCCGCCCTCGCCGCGCGCGCCCCTCGCTGCCCGTCCTGGGGGCCCGCGCCGTCCCCCTCGCCGTCCCCCGCGCTCCTTCCCCCGTTCCGCCCGTTTTAGGGTTTGGGGGTGGAGAGTGTGGGGGTGGCGGCTATGGGGGTGTCGGTTGTGAGTTCCTCCCCCTGCTCCTCCTCCTCCCTCGTCTCCCTCTGCTACAGCTGCCGTTGAGGGGGGGTGGTGTGTGGGAGCCTAGGGTTTGGGGTTTAAGGGGGGGTACCGTCGGAGTGGAGCTAGGGTTTGAAGCAGGGGGTGTGTGTCGAGGGGTGTGGGACAGTTGGAGGAGGTTGAGCGGAGGTTGCCGTCGTGTCGTACGCAGCGCCTGTACTCCGGGGCACTCATTCCCGGTAGCTCAGAGAGCCGGTTGCGCCGTCGCCTGTGGGTCCGTTGCTCCTGCCGCGCATATTAGCCGCGGAGCCTGTTACTCCTGTACTCCGGGGCACTCATTCCCGGTAGCCACGTTGTCGCACCAGAGCCGTCTGTTGCCCGTGTGTCTGCAGCTTCAGTCGTCGCCTCCTATCTACTCTCCTCTCGCCAGCCCTCCTCCTCCTCACTTGCCCCTTTTGTGACTGCCTCTAGTTTTGCTCATAATTGTGCACCTTAAACTATTGCTTCTTGCTTGTGCTCAGAATGTGTTG